CGATTTTGCACTTTCGCCTTTAAAACTCAGCGATAGTCAGCCGCTGGCGCTAGCAGTGTGCTGCTGCTTTGATGTGGCAGCAATAATTTTCCCACCATACAGTATCTCTGAATGTAACGGAATTAGTGGAAGTCAGCACCACGTAGACTGTACACTGTCGTTAGGGTGCCCAGACTGGTGCGCAAAGACCTCATAAATATTGTTCAGCCCGAGTAAATTCTAATAAATCGCATGCTACCGAAGAGTGCAACCCATATTAGGAATAAGGCCATAAGCTTCAATACATTGTAAAATGCCCTGACTGAGCCCGTAACTTATTATAGTTGATGTTAGAATCATAGTGGGCCATCTTCTCCAACTACTAGGCAATAGCTCTTGATACCTAAAAATACTGTAGAGCATAGAGTCGAATAGAGCAATAACGCCCGTAAGCCAGTCAACAATTCTTTCCGAACGCGTCATATTGAAATAGAATCTAATTAAGCCACGACAGAGATCAATCATTGGACTTAATATGTTCCAAGGCGTCTCCCATCCCTATGCTGTACTGAAAACCTGTGCGTGGAAAAAGAGAATAAATTTCCACCGCCAAAACAATTCCTTTGCATTAATTTTTTTCACCGAGTGGTACTGAACCTCGCTCACAAAAACTTCTAGTGCTAACACTTATACATCATGTGCTAGAAGGGAAATAAGAAACTTTTAGAGTTCTTTATTAGGACAGCATTTTCTTCTATTTGGTACTCAGTCTAAAGCAAAGGTTAACGTTGCGTGTGGCCATTTGGAAGGCCATGGTTCAAATCCTGGTGCCGTACTAACATCTGAAAAGTTATAGAAAATTAATTTAAATAAAAAATTAAGCTAACCGCAATTACGAGGTCGCCCCTCGGCAGAAATGTCAACTTTTCCGAGTGTATTTTTTACTTGAAATAAAGGCTCCTCATAAACTGAAGATCCCTCCATTTCGTTGGAAAAACATCAAGACGCAAGATCATTGGGCCAAGCTCTTTCTCTAATATGATGTTTCTCTTACAAAATCCTAATTTCGACTCATCGGATGAATGCCGTTGGCCTTCGTTCATCGAAAGAGAACCTTCCTTTAGCGTGGCTACTCAGTACATAGTACCACCTATTGAAGAGAGTGATTCTGCGTATACTGTTGTTGACACTTGTGATTGTCGCGACATCGATGCTAAAATTCAAATGCACGGACGTTCGGTGATATCGTATCGGGAATATCCGAAGTCTGAACCTCATCAGCGATCTATCTTTGTTTACATATTTTAAGCTGTAAAAAAACTACCCCAAGCTTTCCGGAATCGAGTAAAGGCCATTCGACTTCACCACTTCCTTAAAGCAGTCTTTACTTGGCACATTATACCCCTTACCCTTTTGCAGACCTTTCCAAGTAGCCGTGCTCGACATCAAATCTTCAAACAAATTCAGATCGAAAACTTATAAGTCTGGAAAACCTTTGCTGTTGTTTCTTAGCGAATTTCTTAGCCTTGCTTATGAGCAATCAAATCTATGTTATCAAGGTTACCTAACGTCCCAGGATACGTGAGGTTGTAACAGTTTCTGACCAGAGGCTGAGGGCTATTAAAGAACATTTTAGCAAGGCCGTTCATGGCATGTATGGCATATCGTAGGTATATCGGGGTCAAATATAGATAGGTTGGTCCAGAGTAAAATCTTAATTGTGACAGTTTTGCTCAGATTTTGCGAAGTCACTCGAGGTAGCCCTAAGCAATCTATTCTAAGAAAGAGAGCTTATCAATGCGTTGACGAACTCTCTGTGGATTGCACTTACTCGAACCCGCCTACTAGCAGGCAACGCCGTCGAGGTCTTCCAACAAGACGAACAATATTAAAGGGATGTATCACTTAGACCCTGCCAGATGGTAAGAGCTGTGCGTTTACTTTGGGTGGTGTTTGAATTCCGCGAAAGTTATTCTGTCTGTGGTCGATATGTCAACCTGTACACCTAATCTGTTCTGTGGTGCAGAATGCTGTATTTTAGGTCGCATAACTCCCTACTGATTTGCCTAGGGTGTGGTGCGACTTAGCTTGGTGCATAAATGTTTCACTATGTAAGTAAAGTCGGAGCCAATGGCTCTCGAAACGACAATACTACCACCTACTAGTGAACTACTTTACCTAGAAATAACCGGATGTCCCAGGATAATCCCAACAAAAATCGCCTCGTACTGGTCTGAGTCGACACTTTTTTCGGCCTATTCCTTTGTGAGGGAACTTTCCTATTTCAAAGTATAAATATTATATATATTTATATACATATATATACTCATATATATATGTAGAAAATAATAGCTTAAATGTAGCTAGCTCCTATACGTGTACATATTTGTACATACACAGTCACACTCACACGGTCCTACCTCTGCATTTCCTTTACTTTTGCCTCTTCCGCTATTTACGCCATTTTGATGTTTTATTACTTGGCTTCCGTAACCGCATTAAAGGCGCACAACATAAACCAGGCAGGCAACCAGGCAAAGCCTAGCAAAGAGCCCAACCAGCCAGCGCACATGGCGGCGGAAGAGGAAAAATATGATCAAAATCAATTGCCCCACGCCGAGCACCGAGCACCGAGCACCGAGCAAAAGCCAGCGGCAACCACGAAGAACAGACTGCAGACGGCAGACTACGGCAGTGCCGAGAGCACCAAATGAAGCCAACAAATGCGCTGTTAAGACGCCAAGTAAGAAGATGGCTTATGGTATTTAATGCAAACGTCAGCACAACAAGAACAACAACAACGCGTGGCGCTACTATTAAACTACACTAACAATGCTGCGTTGTCCTTGCCGTTATTATTATTATCGCACAGTCAGCCACCGTCGGTAAGTCAATTCGTATATCCTGCAAATAACGGTAGACGTCAGTCCGCATAAACCGTAAGTATTACGACATTTGGTGCCAGCTTTGGTGTCTTGGCGTGCTTCGTGGTCTCTTTGATGCATCATATTGGGGTGCCTACATTGTTTCGGCAATATTATTTTATATACCGTCATAAATGAACACTCACATACATATGTGCGTAGCTTCAATGTTTGACGTTGGTTTGTGTATTTCTGTATTGGCTCGTTGTCCGTTGATGAATATTGCGCAATAACTTTAAATTTTTTCTTAGTTAGGCAGTGGTTGAGGTTGGTCGATCAAGGAACCCTATGGAAATGCATTTCGGCTGTTGGACCATTGTGATATTTTTTGGCGACCGCAAAAGCCGGTTTGAGTCCTGGTTCGTAGTCGCCTGTCCGCAGGCAAGGTTGAGTTCTCCGGGAGTATTTTTGGCATAAAATAAAAGCTCGCCATAAAAAAACCTAGGCCGTTTGCATGCAGCCTAAAATGGTCCCTCCACTAGTTACAGGAGGAGCTCCAAGCAAGCAAGCTCTATTAAATAGTCAAAGTAAAATCGGTCAAAAGAAGCTTTGACCTTTCAACAGCGACTCCTCCTCATCTAAGTCCCTACAGCTGCAACAAAACTTTTTAGAGTAGTTACTCGTCTCTCCGCCATGGCTCCCCTGCACGTAGTTACTATTTATTACGCCGGTTATTATGCTCATGCAGATACTCGATCACTTTATCACGAAAATTTGTATACTGTAAAGAATGTGTTTTGCTTGCTTCGTCCAACTTATGGTCAATTTATTGGCCTTTTGAGCGTACGCAAGACTATAACTCATCTTGAGACCCAGCATACATTATTGGATGCTATTCAGCCGAATCGTCTACGTCCAGCAGGCAGGGAAGAAAATATAGCGGCTGTAGCTGAGAGTACATAGACCGTGCAGATTCGATTCGGCGCCATTCGCAGCAATTCGTACTCTCGTTTGGAACAACTTATCGTATTTTTTGTCGAGATCTTAAATTGAAAGCGTACAAAATACAGCTGGGCCTTCTCAAAAGGCATTGATTTGCTCTAAGAGCCCTTGAAATTTTCTGAGATGATCCGATGTTTTCGAGCCAAATTTCGTTCAACGATAAGGCTCATTTTTGGCTCAATGGATATACAAACAAGTAAAATTTCCGCATTTGGCATGGGGAGCAGCCTGAATAGATTTAAGAGCTGCCATTTTATCGAGATAAATAACGGCATGGTGTGTTTTATGGTACGGTGGAATCATCGGCTCATATTTCTTCAAAAATTATGCCGATAAGAACGTAACCGTCAATGGCGATCGTTATCGGTTTCACATAGTGAGTTAATATGAAGCCTGAGACTGAAGCTCATCATCGCGGGGACATTTAGTTTCAATCAATTAATTAATTTATTGAGAGAATACTTCGGTGGGCAGATAATTTCACGATTTGAGCCTGTCGATTGGCCCCCAAGTGTGAGCGATAATAACAGCGTTAGGCTTTTTTCAGTGGGGATATGTAACGTTTAAGGTCTTCGCAGTCATTCCCGCTTCAACTCGGACCTTGGAGTAAAACTTCGCGCATGTTATTCGCCAGTTACCAGTCGAAATGCTCGAATAAGTCATCATTAATTGGACTTAACGGAAGGACCCCCGAGACGTAGTCGCAACTAACACAAAATGTTCTTTCGAAGGAAAGTAATCCCATTTGATTTGAGTTTTTTTTTCTGTTTTTTTTTTCTTAAAAATGTAGTGAGTTTTCCCAGAAAATCATCGAAGTCTTGGGACTAAGTCTCAAAGTTCCATGCAACCCACTTGTCTATATATGAAGAAATTTCATATAAACAACATCTTAAAGAGTGAAATGTGATATTCTCTAAACCTTTGTACAAATAAATATTGCCACCAAAAATCATGGAAATTATATGACCATGAAAACAACTTAAAAATGGACAAGCCCATTTTGTAATTAATTTCTGTTTCAGACTTTCTGAAGCGTCTACAAGGACGCATCCATTTAAGCTGCGAAACTTCGTTTGAATGTAAACCCAACTTCTCTTCTTCTCCAAATTATTGTAGAAAAGAAATTCACAATTTTTCCAACTAACGATAACTCACCTCTTTTGCAGGAATTTCCGTTTGAAGTCTCTAAACGTCCCCGTGCCGCCACCACCAAGACCACCACCACCGCCAGCATCATTTTCATTTACATAACGGACACGTGATTGCTGTAGTAATAAATGTCGATTCGTGACACCGAAATCCATTTGCACATCGACCACTAATAACAGTGTCAGCAGTATCAGGGTGGCACCCAAACTAATGGCCAGGCGATCCTTGAGCTTCATGCTGCGTAATATTGCCATTACGTCAAATGTGTGTTGTGGACGTTTTGGAATGTGTTCGACGTCAGCAACTGTTGGAGTTGTTGTCGTTGCTGTTGTTGTTCGAGGCGATGCTACTGAACGCCTACTAGTATGCAACGTTCTATTGTCGTTGCTTATACTCTTAGTGTAAGAGTTATTGTTGTCGTCGTTGTTGTTGTTGTTACTGTTGTTGTTGCTGTTGCATATGCTTAACTGCACGGCAACATAATCGGCAAATCGGCTGAGACCGATCCAATGTAATAGCGTAAGCAACCACAATTGTTGTTGTTGTGTTGCTGTTGCTGATTTTGTTGTTGTATTTATTGTCCGTTGTCTTTCATCAATCGTTGTTTTTTCGGACTTCACTTGTCCTCCTCCACCGTTAGTCAAGTTGCGCCTGCGCACCAATACCAAACGCCGTTGCTTACCCAACAATGACGACGATGGCAACGGCGACGATGATTTCGTGTAGCAGTCAGTTAACGGTATCGAAGATGACTCAGTTGCATCATCGAATGTTGCAACGTCCGCACTCTGTTGACTTAGCTTATAATGCACTTGAGCTGTATTATCGTTTTTACCTTTGCTGTTGTTGTTGTTGTTGTTGTTGTTGTTGTTGTTGTTGCTATTAGGAAACTTTGTTGTGAGCAGTGATGGAGTACTTTGCTGTTGAGCTCCTGCTCCGACATCCGCTGCAGTTGTTAATTCAATGCGCTTGAGTAGCGAAGGCCTATTGGCACTGTAATTCTTGTTGTTGTTGCAGTTGTAGATGTGTTGATTATTGATGTTGTTGTTGCTATAGCAACCGTTTGCACTATTACCGTTAGTATAACGCTTGTAATAGCTTTCGGGCGTTGATAATTCGTCTTCGAACGACCTGAATTCTTGTCCCACTTGTTGTTGTGGCTCTTGTTGTTGTAGATGTTGTTGTTGTAGACGTTGTTGTTGTTGCTGCTGCTGTTGTTTATGACGAAATTTTGTTAAGCGCTCAGCTAACGTCGCCTGTGTAGCTGACCAATTGTCTGTTCGGCTTGTTGTTGTTGTTCCTCTTGTTGTTGCTGCTATGTCACCGAAATTTCCAATGCTATTGTTGTTGCTGCTGTTGTAAGTTGTTAAGTTGGGTTTTGGCAACGATGTTGCATTTACAATGCTGAAATATAGATTTAAGGCTTTCGTTAGTCAAATTTTGAGGTCAAAAGAAAACAAAAACAAAAACAAAATTAAATAAACTAAAATTGAAAATTCATGCAATTAACATAAATGTGGCTTTAAGGCAATTCACAACTAACAGTTATTTTGTATTACAAAAATTTAATATTGCAAGTATTGGACGAAATTAGTTTAGTCGTTTTTGAGGTTTCCTAGCCTTGAAGCAGAGTTAGAGCGGAGTGAAAAGAGTAGTAGATCCTGTGCAACCGTTCAAAGGGCTTTATGAACTATCGAAGCAAATGGAAAGATCCAAATCATTTTATGCACAAGCCTGGCCACATTTATCAGCTTCCGAACGGCAAAGAGCTCACCAAGGTTTATAAAGATATGAGAGCCAAGTTGCTTCAATCTTAGCCTCACAGAAATGAGGCAGTTGAAGAGAAAATACTGAACTCTTCTATGGGTTAGTTCAAACGACAGTCATACCGGAACAACCCGAACTTTTATATAGCCTCCCGCAAAATTCACGAAAAATAATTTATTTAATATTTTACGCTTACAACAATAATATAAACAGAGGAAAATAATGAACCCATTCCATCTCACTAAACGCACGACCGCAACTAGCAGGAAAACTTTTTTTATTTATTTTTTCACCTTACAAATCTGACAAGGCTCTACCAGATATCCCAACAAAATCTCATAAGGCGACTAATGACATAACGACTTCAAGAACATATCCCGCACTATCCAAATCTACACCAGCCTCGTAGAGCCTTCCGACCGTGAACTCATTGATATTTGTTCAGGTTTTGCCAAAGCGACAGGTAGACTAACTGTCCAGAACAAGATGGCAATCGGCATCTAGTTTGAAGTTACATGAAATTTTTCTTATTCGACACTAAGAGGAGCCTAAAGTATCCCATGAGTAGCCTGAATTTCAACACAAGACAATTCAAACCCAAAACATCATCATGACTGTCTGCCTTAATCGGGCATTTCAATTTTCTTCAGTACCCATTTCTTGAGTAGAGTTGTGACGATCTCATGGAGGGCAACTTATGTCGAGAAAAATGCCGCGAGCTTTTTATGCAGCGCGACGTTGACGATATGCTTTAGAAATAAGTATTTCGGTTTCGCGGGAAGCAGAAAACTCGAAGGGAACATTCCTTTGCCTGTTTCCAGCAGCGTTACTGTCCCTGTTGTTGCAGAAGAATTTCGCACATGTTTTTTCTACTTCTTGACAGTTGGTAAGAGTTTGTAAATTTTCCGGTGACTTGTAGAATTACTAAGAGCCAGTTCTTCTGGCTTTATGATAGCAATGATCATTTAAGAGTTCTATCTACATTTATAGATTAGAGATGATTTCATTATGCGACAGATATATAGAGAAAGAAAAAGAGTATTCACCAACCGGTGCGCCATCTGCCGCATGCTTTTTGAACTACAATTCACTTGAGGTTTTGCAACTTTAATTTCACGCACTTCTTTGCGCAGGATTTCAAATAAATATCACGGTAATAATTGATCCAAGATCTGAAGCGATATGAAGAAGAAAATCAAAAATCGGATCTTCCGATGAAGCTCAATTTTATCTCGGCGGCTATGTAGAATTGTCGCTTTTGGTGCTCAAGATAATCTTGCGTAATCTTGGAACGGGCAATGCACCTTCAAGGAATGACTGTTTGTGGCGGCACGTGGACCGTAGGCAACATCAGTGCTTTTCTCTTCGAAAACATAGAAAAATTTGCCGTTACTTTCAATACCGTGCAGATAATATCATGGACGTTGAGTAGTTACACCACTGGACCACTGGAAGGCCAATCGCGGCAGTAATATGACAGATGAAGTGGAGAGGTATTTTAATGAATGCAAGACCAAGCGGTACAGTATATATCGAAGAAGACCCGAATGCGTCCATCCGACATCGCAAACAAGAATTGTAGCAGTGTCCAATTACTTTACGGATGCTTTTTTAAAAGGCTCTTGGTTTACGATCTTACGAAATCTAATACGTGCAAAAATTGAAGCCGAACGACCAACAAGAACAAACTGATATCGGCACTGATCCCGATTTACACAAGAAACTTTTGTTCAGTAATGAAGCTCGCTATTAATTGAACGTTTATAAAAAAATTAAATTTCATCTGTTGATAATTCCTAAGCCATTGTTGAGATGGTAATTTTATTCTCAAAAAGTCAATGCTTGCTTGGGATGCTCTATGGATTGAAGGAATAATGGATACCGTTTTCTACAAAACTGAAGCCAACCATTATTATACAGTCAATACGGAATGCTGTAGAGCCCAAATTAATGTGAACGACCTTTGGTTCCACCAAGACAACGCTGTCTGTCATACAGCCAGCGAAACTCGCGAAGTAGGCCCGTGGCGTAGCCTCCAAGATCGTGTGTTTAAGATCACTGGCCTATTTGTTGTGGAGCTAAGTGAAGTATGTTGTCTACGCAGATAAGCCCGAGTCGACTGAGGCCTTGAAATAGAATATTCGGAGCAATTATAATTGACGAAAGGCCGCAACTGCTGCAAAAGGGGGTCGAAAAATGGGTCACTCGGCTGGAATCACGGCAGCCACTTGCCCGAAATGATATCTCAAAAAATAATAGAAAACTTTTATCTGTATAATAAACCTAATAACGTAAAAATATGTGCGTTTTACTACTTCTTGAAAGTCGCATCTCTTAAATACGTTCTATATTCATAATTCATTTTTCTAATTGCTTTCGAACCTCGACAGGGAATGTGAAGCTCTCCTAGTGTATTTATGACTTAAAATAAAACTCCTCATAAGCAACCTCCGCCGTTCGGAAGCGGCTCGGAATAAACTGTAGGTCTCTCCCTTTATTGGGAAACATCAAGACGTCACGAATGGAAGTGGAGCTCCACAGAAAATCGCTTTAGCGGTATGTATATATGCATAGAATTAGTTTAAAATTAGGCCCAGGAGAGTTTATGGCGTGATAAAAGCAGAGAATCTGGAGCAATTAACATAAAAACAAGAAAAATTTAAAATTTTTTTTTTTAATTACAGAAGAGTCGAAAGCAATCAGCATTTCACTGTGTTTGTTAGTCAGTTCGCACAAATTTTCATGCGAGTGTCTGCTCTTGAAGCTTAAAGCCTTTAGTTAAGTTTTTTTTTTTTTTTAAATAAAGCAGTCCCTCACGCACTACCACTAGCTCCCAGTAGTTTTCCGGCGAACAACTGAATTTTTGCAAGAAAAAACATTTACTCGTACATAAGTATGTATGTGTGTACTGCATTTAACGAAAAATTAGCAACCAGCAAATTTACCTCTGAAACACCGTCTCGGCTGGTGCGGCTATATAATCGCTCCAGCGACTGTTGCCACCAAACCAAGCCCGACGCACATCACCACATGAGAGGCGTAGCTGTGGTTGTGGTAGTGAATGATTTTGTTGCTGACGCTGTTGTGTCCACCGCAATTCGTCAAGCGCTGCAAAATTATTACAAGATGCACTCGCTTTGTTGTTGCCTTCGTTGGTTTGTCTCAGTCTCACATCATCTGTCGTTGACACCAATATTGCTTGTGGTTTTCCCGCTGGTGTTGTCACTGCCACCGGGGTTCGGCCAAAATCATTGCCAGCAATATTCGTGTTAATGTCTTTTTCAGACAACCAATGTACGTTTGTGGTTTGTGAGTTTTGCAGCGGCCCATGCGCTCCAAACCGATCCACACTTTGTCCACGTGCGCGCTTGAGGAGCGGCGTTTTGAAGAGCGTGGAAATGTTTGAATGGCTCTTTTGCTCTTGTCCTTGTTGAGTTGTGATATGTTGTTGTTGACGTTGTAGTTGCAGTTGTGATTCCTTTTGTGGCGCATACATTATTGTTTTTGCTGTGTCTGTTGTTGTGGTTGTTGTTGATATACCATTACACCCGTCGTTTGGCATACGTTCCTGTGATTGCCGCCAGCACATGCCGTGCTTTGAGGACTCATAATTTTCAAAGTTGACATGAGACGCTTGGACCCGTTCATTACAGCTACTCCCACGTTCATCCCAACGGTCGACAGTTTGCCACAAGCTGTTGTCGCCTGCCACCGATGCTTCCGATAAAATGTCACACTCAGCGTTTGCGTGTTGGTCCTTTGGTGAGCACTTGTAATGCCAGTCTCTCGTTGACCACTTTTCTTTTGTACGGTCGTCCCCCTCTGCACTATTCCGAGTGGTATTCGCAATCAACGTCACTGAATTATCCTGAGCTTCTTGCCTTTCCTGTGTCCATATGTCAGCGGTCTGTGTTCGGACCTCGATATATGCGTCACTGCGCTGATTTCCTGTTCTGCACAAATATTTGCTATGCCGGGGCTCATACTCATCATCAGCAAGCACATCTGCTGTGACAACATCATCATCATCGCCATCATGGTCAAAGGAGAAACCCATGCCTGTCCCTGTTGTATCTGGTGTCTCGTATGTACTACCATCCCGTTTGCACACGGTGGGGTTGAAGGAATCCTCTAGCGTATCCTTGCTACTGCTTCTACCGCTGAGCTCATAGTGTGCATTGTAGTCCTTTGTTCTTTGACTGGCCACCTCAGCAACGTTATTTCTGTTGCCTTTGTAGAAATTTTTTATTTCTTTTTGTTCTACTGCTTCTTCTTCGTCTTGTCTCTGCTTCAATTGCGATTGATTGCTTGACATTGCCAATTGATTTGTGTCCACAACACTTTTACTCAATTGTCGCTTGCCCATTGAGGGATTTCCTTCCTCGTCACCGAGTCTGAGTCTTCTACGCGCTTCGCCGCACACACTACTGCTACGTACACCCCAACGTCGTATGCGACTATCGGTGCGTCTCAATCCTACATCACTGTTGATGTAATCAGTGTCGACAGCGGCAGCGAGGGCATCACCACTGGCAATTCGGTCATTGCTTTGACTCCAGCGCTGTTGGCGTGCAGCAACCCGTGGACCACCTGCAGTAGAGTCCATATCAAGGTATTCCTGCGTATCAATTTGTACATTCTTTCCATCATGGTGAACGTAGTTTGCTACATTGCTGTTGCTGTTGCTATTGCTGTTGTTATAGTGAAATCTGCCAGTTCCTTCTTCACTATAACCACGCTGCAGCTTGCTTGCTGGATTCGTCCTTTTATTTTTGTTCGTTTGAAAAAGTTTTCGTAAATTTTCATTTCGCTTTGCTGTGGCAGCATCGTCCAGAAGAGTACTGTTATTTCCGCCATTTTGGTTAACCTAAATGTTTATATTTTGCATGATTTCTTTTGTACTATTTCACATTCCAAATTGCAAACAGGAAATTCTTTTGTGTTTTGCTGTGCATTTTTTTTATATCTTTTTTGACATTTTTTTTTTTTTTTGGTTTTGCAACTGTGAATGTGTGTTAGAAATTTTTGTTATTTTAATTTTTTTTTATTTTTTTTTCCAAACACTTGTTAGTCAGGTTTTTAGCGCTAAACTAGTAACTGTAACTACTCAACCGCAAACGAAAAATGAAAAATAAAAAACAAAAAAAGATAAAATAAAATAAACCAATAACAAAACAACGAATTATTTGTTAATTTCAGTTAGTTAAACAAATTGAAATTCAACGAGCAAAAAAATGTGTGCAGCAATTCAGTCGAATTGGCAAATGTGAATTGGCCGGGAAGGAAATCATTTATGTGATTTCTAACATTTCACGGTTAGTTAAACCACACAATATACGAAATCGTACAGAAACCATCATTTTTTTTTTAATTAAAAAAAATGTGCTCAAATAAAGGGTTTTCCAATAGGAATAATATGATTTCTAATTGTCGTTTTGGTCATTTTTAAAATGTCATCATCTGTAAATTTATTTTATTTTTCACAGTATTCAGTAATGTTTAAAATGTCATAATGGCAAGATATGCGCAAGAACAACGTTTGAAAACAACAACTACAACCACGACAACTTAAAAACGATAACTATCTCTTTTTAAGAAAGTCATCCCTCCGTTGAGGCTCACTTTCATCTGAGTGTTGCGGTAAATAGACAAAACTGTCGATTCGCGTGCGAAGAAAATTCACATATTTTTCATGAAACCCCATTACATTCACCTAAATTGACAGTTTTGTGTAATTTTTGGACTGGTGAAATCATAGCTCCGTTCTTTTTTTTTTCGAAATGAAGCTAGTAACACCGTTAATGTCAATGGAGATCGATGATAACCAATTTTTTATTGCTCACAATTGAAAGAAGTTGTACTTAACAACATCTGGTTGCAACAAGACCGGGCTGCGTATCACACAGCAAGTACAACAACCGCATTATGGCGAGAAAGGTTTGGATATTCGATTATATCAAGAAACTGTGACATTGAATGGCCTCCAAGTAGTTGTTTTTTAGACTACTTTTTGCGCGTTATTTGAAGTTATTGGTCTTTATCACCAAATCAGACTATTTGCAAGCTTTAAAAGTCAGTATTGAACATGTTATTCATGACCAGACTTCACAGTTTACTTAATACTTATATCAAAAATTTAATATAGTGTAAAAGGTGCTCAAAAAATGATTTCATCAAATTCCTGCCTGCAATAGAGGTCGTGGATGCCATTTGCATGCTCTTATATTCAGAACTTCATTGTATCGATTGTACTTCACAGTGAATAAAACTCATATGAATATCCTGAACAATGTGTTTTGTTTTAAGAAATCATATCACTCTTATTGGCAAACCCTATATTTCGCATAGAATATGCCCAAACTAAAATACTTATAATTTTACCAAAAATTTCGAAGTCTCTTACGTAAGCTTGTTGTTTTTCAGTGATAAAATCTGAATCACACTAACACATAATGATGGAATAACCTACAAAAATATATAAGAATCAATCGAGCGCGTTTTATAATACGAGGTGTGCACAAAAAATAAAGCTTTAAAATACGCAGCCTGCAGAATCGAAACAATCGGACCTTTTTATACCTTTTATATATAAGAAATGTCATACTAACTCTGGTCTGAAGTCTTTAAATATTAGAAGGAAAGATGATACACCCAACAAAACTTGTACTGATAACAGAATGACGAGTTGAGTGATTAGAGTTGATTAAACCACGTCCATCTGTCTGTCTGTCTGTGCGAAAACAAATCCATATGTTTTTGGATTATTTCAAACAAAAGTGGTACACAGACTTTGTGGTACATTTAAGTGGTCATAACCTCCAAAATCGGAAAGACGCAAGTCAGTCAAACGTGCGCAGTTTTAGTTTCTTCGACTTCGTGCCGGTAATTTTAATGAAAAAAGCGCCACGGCATGAAAACTTGGTGAAAATGTTGATAAAATAATTTAAATCGTCTAGTCTGACCATCATACGAGCACTATTTCTATTGTCCTGGAGCTAAATTTTGCTCAAAAAATCGCTTGGATACAAAAAGTAACCCAATATATGGTTGCCACATTAGTTAATGGGAAAAACCTCATGGACCAACTGAAAAATTTTTGCTAAATGGTAATAAAATCATACTATTTCTAAAGTGAAAATGGTCGTGGTCGAAAAACAGTGTACTGACAGTGAACAGTGTAGAACAGTGTACTAACAGTGACGACCAGGAAGGCTTTGTTGTGTGTTTGGTGCGAATCACCTGGTAATGTCAGCAATCGGACCGTTTAAATGAAGCAATTGCTCAAAAGCGCCTTGCCTTGCCCAACACGAAGAGAATTGTGTATCATCAGGACAACGCCAACCCACTTGCTCGATCGATCTAATGCAACCATCTTTTATTCTGAACTTCACAGTTTGTAATTACGACCATATCCTCTCGTCTAAGGCATCTGGTTGATGAAAAGTCGATTATCCCAATTTTGCCAAGAACTAGGTACCAATAAAAATAAAAATATTAGCTTCAAAAGAGTACAGGGTTATCGATTGTAGCGGTGCTTGTTTGACATAAAACGGCAAATTCCTCTGACTTCAATTTAATGCAAAAATAGACCCCAAACAATGTATGACACACTCGGTGAAAGAACTTTTTAAACTTCGCGGAATCGGTGATTTTGATTGCCAAAAAAATTTCATATTTTGCTGGTATAAATGCCTCTCAAAAATGATAAAGCTTTAAGCTGTCTGTGACAGAAAGTGAGGTTAGATGTAATTCTATGAGCACGGCGATTTTCATGTGTAAAATAACTGGATCAAAGAATTTGTGTCGAGCTTTGACAACAAATTGGAAAAAAGTTTAGAAAAGTGTGTGAGTTTGCTAAGAGTGGAATAAAAGTTTGAGAAGATCGCGAATACTTTGGGAATAACCAACGGCTTTGACGCTCTAGCGCATCAACCCCAATGAAGCGTAAAAAAGCGAAGGCAACGGTTCTGAACGAACGCAGGGCGAAAATTCAACTATTACAGAAGTCACTGATGATGTTGGCATATCGATTGGATAACATTCTTTGTATACTTCTGGCATAAAACATGTGATACTTATCTTTCTCCCAAAACTGTTAAACAGCATCAATTTAAAAGAAGCTGCTCAGGAGTTGCTAAATGAAGTGAACGGCATTACAAAATTACTGAAACACACAACTAATAACAGATGACGAAACACGGGCTTACGTTTAAGACGCCGAAACTAGAAATCAATTGTTGACATTGGCTCCAACTGCTGTAAAAAGTGGTCGAAAATTGGACTGGAATTCATGCGAGCCAGCCTCGGCGGTCACTTGCTTGAAATCATCTTTAAAACATAATGACAAACCCTTATCTTTATAAAAAAAAATTAAATCTTGGTCCTGACATTGTGTTATATGAGTTTTCTTCCTTTTTGAAACGCACCTAACTAAAAAGCTCCATGTAAGCGCCACCTACCGTGAGCTTTTGGTAAAAATAAGTGTGAAATATGAATTCATCGGCACAAGAAACATTGGAATACTGTAAATGGCTATAAAATTACACTAGTATATGGAATTTCATGCAGTTTTGCTGTTACAGGGTGCTTAATTTTTACTTTGCATAAAATGCAAGTAAATCTCTAGAGCAAGAACACGTTTCAGAGGTTTTTTTTGTGCCAGACATAACCTTAATTTGCGTTTGGTTTCATCAGAAAACGACAGACATGTTTTGTGTCACGGTGTGAGCGTGCTTTCAGTGGTCAAAATCTTTAGGTTAGACATGAAAAATGTTTTACCATTGAAAATGTTTTAACACTTTTTCTTAAAAATAATTACGAATTCTTCATTTGTAATCACTAAAATTTAGCATCAGCAGCATAAAGAGCTTTCATGCATTATTTTTTATCATTTTATTAAGCTCCAATCAAACATTTTCAGAAAAGCTCAGCTGAAATGCGCAAATAAAGCTCCAAGGAGCATCATTTAGTTAATTGCAATGAAAAATTCTTATCTCACTTGAGATCGCACTTCCGAAACGTATTAATTAAATGTTTATTCAACGTCAAAACAAGCCATAAACAATAAAAAAACACGCAAAAATTAATTAAGAAAACTATAAATGCAGAAAAGAAGCGAGAAAAACAAAAGAGAAAACACAAACAAGTCAATGTAATAAACAATAAACGTAAAACCAAACGCAAATAAACACAACTAAAGGAACATAAAAATTTGAAATGGTGGAAAATTGTAATGTAAATCAAAATCTGGACGTCAGATTGATTACACACGGGCCGGGCCGGCCATGCATGCTTGGCACTACAGCGGGCGCGTATGTAGGTGGGCGCAAGGGCAAGCGGGCAAACGGACAAACGGACAAACGGGCAAACGGTCGTATTTATTACTTGCTTTTGCTTTCCTTTCGTTGTGTGCGGAAAACAAATCCCGAAAAGGTCAGCCAGTGCTAAGCAAAAGCAACTAAGTTGTATTACTTACATGGGAGCGCTGTGTAGCCATCACAACGGAATTGGAGGAACGAATGGAATACACAGCGATGCGTTGGTGGATTTAATGGCAGAATTTTTTTAATAATTTTTTTTATTTATGTTTTTTATTTTTTATTACTTTTTTTTTATTTTCTTTTTTTTTCTTTTTTTTTCGTTTTTTATTATTTAATATGTAAGTATGGGAACCTTGAGCTTGAGGTAGGCGCTTGTTTGGCGTTGGGCGAGCGAGCGAGCGCACAGGCGAACTGACGATCGGTTGGTTGGTTGGTCGGTTGGTTGGTTGATTGGGCGCTTAGTTGGTCGCTTGGCTGGTCTAATAGAGAATAAGTTATATGTAGTATTGGTGCAAGATTACTTTTGTGCGATGAAAAAGCACAAAGCAAGCTAGTTAGATATACGACTATTTTTTTTATTAAAAACACATACATACATACAGAGACGTATGTATGTTGGTGAGTATAAAAGCGGAAATTGCTAGTTGCTGTTACGTAGAGATAGTGAGCGTAAGTAAGTCTTAGTATGCGCGCGTACATATACGAGTATATGTATATATATATATATATATATATATCTTTATTGCAATTATTACATGTGTAGCTTTCTTTCATTTGTTTCTTCTATTTTCTTGCTTTCTTTACTGGCGATTAAAACACTTTTTTTTTTTATTACGACGCGGGTGGAAATTTATGAGCGTGTGGCTATATAAGTAGAAAGAAAAAAGAGCGAAAGAGGAGAGTAAAAGAAAAAGTAAATTAAAATAACCTTCAGCAATCAAGCAAAAAAAACAGAGTGGGATATAAACAAATCTTATAAATAAAAGAATGTACAAATTGAATTCAAAGAAACGACTCGAAAGTGTTGTAGCTTAATACAGAACAAAAAAAAAACAAATTGCTAATGCAATTTGCTCACAAGCGATTGCGGAAATGTAGGTGCATATGCTTGTGTATTTTTTCTCTGGTAGTAGTTAGTGAAAGCATTTGAAAACATATTAGTTGCATGGAAACGTATATTTATCTATACTCCGGCACGCCACACATCGACGTAAGCGCACATATTTTAGGTAGTTACAAACACACGAACACAAAGTTGGTACTCTAGAATTTTTCTTTATTTATTTATTTTTTTTTAATTATTTTTTTTGGTTCGAGTTAAAAAAATTAATCCTAAAAACGTTTTGATTTTTTTTTTTTTTGCTTTGGTATGGTTTTTGAAGCACGATTTTTCTTTCCAGTAATTTTAATAGAAAATCGCAGTTAATTCATTTGCCAGGGCACATGCCTACGTAGCGAAATAATAAAAAAAAAATTAAAATTATAAAATTTTGTTTGAATGGACTTTTATTTTTCGGTATTAATATTATATAAAATTGCCGCTTTATAACCGCTGAAGAGATTTTCGGCTGAACTCCTCCGGCAAAATGTGGTTTTGCGTCTTGATGTTGTTTTTTTTTTTCAACAAATGGAGCTACCTACAGTTCGAAGGCGACGCCTGATGCTTTTTTTATCAGCAGCTTTAAATCACATCAGAAATACACTCGGAGATATTGATATTCCCTGCCGAGGAGCGGCTGCAGACAGAAAATTTAACTTATTTCTTATGTTTAAATTGATTTTCTATAATTTTTTGGGTGTTAATACGACACCAGCAATTGAACCCGAGTCTGCCGAATGGAATAACGCAAATGCCACTCGGCTATAGATGCCGAGACATTTTTTCTCAATCACAATTCAAATAAATTCATAATCTTTGCATACTTTTCGGCGCTACTAATTAGAAACTGTTTCGCTTAGTTTAAGTCTTATTGAAAAAAAAATAAAAAAATAAAAAACATTTTAATTAACATAAAAAACAAAACACAGTAAATTCAGCAGATTGCAATTATTTTTTATATTTGCTATATATGAGCAGCTTCAGTATAAAAGATTTAGCCTACAAATATGTAATATGTGGTCTAGTAAAAATAAATTCATTATTTCATCAATAGATGGCTCTAGTAAACTGCATTTTATCTAGCTGACGATAGAAAGATGTTATTTTGTACTAAAAGTTTAGCTGGAGAAGTGTTAACAACAGCAAGGTTTGACCACATAGCGAAAATGCTCAGAAATCGTCGCCTCTGATCGTCATACGAGCACTGTGTTGATTGACCAGGAGATAAACGTTGCACAAAAAATAGATTAGAACCGCTTGAAAAATGCTGTATAGGCAAAGAAGTTCCTTGTATGGTTGCCACATGAGTTAACGGGAATAAAACTCATGGATCGAATGTCCAGCTACGAATAGCTGCTGGATCGTAACACAATTGACCTATTCCCAAAGCGTATGGCGACTGATAATGGAAAGAGGATCACTTACAAATACGTAAAACGAAAATGGAATGTGACCTAGGGCGGCGGAAAGCCGCGAAAAAAGTATTGACGGCTGGGAAAATTTTGTTGTGTGTTTGGTGTGACGGGCAAGAAATCATTTACTATAAGCTGCTTCACTTTGAGCCACTTCCCTATAACTACTGTCAGGTATTGGGCCGTGAGAAGGAAGTAATCACACAAAAGCGCCCATCTTTGGCCAACATGAGGGGAATTGTTTAAGTTAGCACAACGCCAGACCACACAGATCGATATTGACTCGCCAGGTGATTATGTTCACCTCCTATAGCGAATGATTTAATTGGTGAATAATTGACTTCAAGAAAAAACTGTGGAAACCGATGGTCCCAAGTTTTTACCAACAGAAACAACGGTTTCTATGAAAGCAGCATAATGGCATTACCTTCGAAACGGCATAAAATAGTAGAGCAAAATGGTATAGACATGGCATTAAAGGGATAATTCTAACTACGGTAAAAAAAACCTTTAATTCGATGCAAAAATTTTGAGGTACTTTTTAACAGATCACAATCCCAACCTGAAATTCTTTGCGGTGTTCTAGCTGTTGAACGATTTCTGACGGAAAGTTATGATATTTTTTAGGTCACGACAAAGTGAAAAAATAATAATAAATACGTATGTATATAAAGAAAAATTGTGTAGATAAAAAAAGTTTAAAAAATAAATAAAAAATAAGCACAAAGTGTAGGGCATTCGATTTAAAAATAAAATGTTGCAATAAATATTTCCAAAACTTTATGATTTTTTTTGTCTGTTTAGTTTTACATAAGAGAAAAGCATACCAATTTATTTTTATTAACTATTGTATAAAATTAAAAAAAAAATACTGAGTTTGATATTATAAAATAAATATTTTTGTTGTTCTTCTTCATTGAGCTGTTAAATTTCAGTTTTTCGATGAATTTTTCATTAGATTTTGTACAACAATCAGCATCATAAGCTTCCAAAATTTTTATCTAGATTTCAAACAATAAAAATCCAATTAGACAAACAATTTTTTCGACACTAAAACCTCAGGAATGTAAATATCATACAAATAGTTATGAAAAAAAAATTAAAATATTGCCCAATTATAAAAATAAATGAATAAGAAATGGTGAAACTCAATGGGCTATTTGGAGTAATCGAAAAATAAATAGTTAATAAATTAAAAAAAAAAAAATAGTTAAAAAAAATGTCCAACATATTGAAGGTCATAAATTGCAAACAAATGTCATATTGTCTTTTATTTTTTTATTTATTAGGGTGGTCCAAAAATATGTATGCAAAAATGCCTGGAATTTTATTTATATTAAGTTTTCAATAATTTGTTTTATTTCCTAAATTTTTATAAATTTTCAGAAAATATATGACCACAATCCCGTCCCAACCAATGCGTTTCCGAACGGTTGAATTTTTTTACGTAAATCTCCGTCATCAATACTAGAAAGCTTTTTAGGCTCATTTACATATTCACTGCAAGAAGTTAAGTATCGCTTTATCAATTTTGAGGTTACGTATTGTGATGGCCACAAAAATTATTATTTAATTATATAATAACAATTTGATTGTATTTAAAATTACGAAAAGAAGCCGTCCCTAAAAAGCAATGCTCACTGTAAGTCCTCAAAATACTCTTCAGCTTAAAATCTTTAATAATATTCATATAACTTATAAGTCTAAATGCAAAAAAAAAAATTTGAAAGGTGGCAACTCTAATCAAAAATGTTGCCACTAATAAACTCTCGTAATCTCTTTGCTCAAACACCAATCCGATATAATTAATATACTGTATAATATATTTTATAAATTCTTTTGAGTTATAATTTTTTGGTAACAGTTGGCAGCTCCGCTCAGATATATTTCATCATTGAGTCTTCCTTCAAGCTCTTCAATTTGTAAATCATACTATACTCTATCATGTATTTTAGCACTTTTTAAAACTTTTTTTTTTAATTTCGGAAGAGGTGGTAGCTCTGTTTATTGTAAATCTAAATGATTCTTGAGCACACCTGAACACAAATAATTATTTTATGAAACTCGGTGCAGGCATTTGTTTTGAGTTGAGTTGTAGGCACACTTAAAGAAGATTATATATATGTTATATAGACACTTTCAAAATAGGTGGCAACTCCATTGAATTATATATTTGAACAAACTTGAAAACTCTTAAAGACTTGGCAGCTTGAAATAAATAATTTTGTTTTCTAAAATCTTAGGTTACAAAATGCAGATCTTCCGAATGATAGTGCCAACTGCTAACCGCTTGGCTATTGCTGGTTACAAAAAAAAATAATTAAATATTTAAGAAAGTAAAAACACAATCAAAATATATCCTTGGACCACCCTAACACGCATACATGCATACATAGATATAACGAAGTAAAACAATGCTGATGCAATAAATTCATTAAAATTTGTACATAATAAAGAAATACATATGTATGTATGTACAGTAAGAGTATATGTGGATATTTTTTCTAAAATTTTTGTAAAAATATGCAGCCGCAAAATATGTTGAAATTTTGGGTTCGATGAGCAAATGAAAGCTTTAAACCAATCTGTTGAAAATCCATATGAAAAAATTGCTCGTACGAGAGTTGCCTTTTATATTTCGGGTTTAGAAAGCAAAAACAAATATCAATTATTGAAAATCGCTTTGTTGTTTTTCAAAATATTCTCCATTGAGGTATATACACTTGAGCATGAATTTGAATTAATTATCGTAGCACTTTTGCCAACCTCCTTGAGTTATCTCCAAAAGATACGTTCTCAGTGCACCGAACGCTTCTTCAGTTGTCGAAAAACGTTTGGCTCTCAGTTTTTTTTCTACTTATGGAAATTCAGAGAAATAATTTGGTGACAAGACAGGACTCCACGGTGGATGACTCATCAGATCGATGCTTTGTGAGAGCTCGCATTTTCTGTGATAAGATCCGTCTTCAGCTGTTGGCTTCCATTATTACTAGCAAGACTCCTGCCGAAGACACGGCCGAAAAAGCCGAGTGGTTGCTGCCATTCATAAGGTTGGAGCACTGATTCGGCAAACTTCCGAAATAAAAGAAAATTAATTCTTTTAATTTTAATATTTCTAAATACAGTCGCTCTTCGGCAGGGAATGTCAACTCCACCGACTGTTGGTCCAATCATTTGTTGGAAATACATCGACAAATAGGCAAAATTGGCAATTATTTTATGAACGGCAAATATTGAAACCTAAAAACTTTTGGCCTAAACTGCTCTGTCCTGATTATTCGATGATCAATTAGATTTCTTTATTCCCAAGGCATGGTCTACGTTTGGCGCTCGGCCAAAGAAGAACTACCGTATAAGTGCACTTTGAAAACAGTTAAGTCGGTTTAAAAGGCTTAAAGGTTTGGCGATGCTTACCTGCGCTTGCCAGTGGCAATATTGTTTTTGTTATAGAAATATTTTAAGGGAATTTCTTCTTTAGCAGAACATTTCATATATTCATACTCTAAAAGTCGTCATTCAATATCTAAAAAATGAAAATTTGACTTATCACCAATTGAGAATGCATGGGCAACCCTAGAGTTGCATACAGCTGAAAAGAAGCCCCAAAACTTGTGTCTCTTTTGAAGGACTGCTTCTGTAACACTTGAACAAATTTTCCACAAAATGAGTGTTTGAAGCTTTGTCACAACGATTGGAAAAACTAGCAATACGAAATTATGGACATTGTGGTTATTAAACCATTTTGATATTTTATTTTTTCCACATGAAATTTACTATTTGCGTTCATGTTTTTTTTATAAAATCAAGAAATTTCTTTCCTGTTTTAAAAATAATTTAAAATGATACCATGATGCAAAAAACACTCAAAAGTTTTTTTTTTTTTAATATTAACCAACTGATATAAAAAGAGTTTTTTACTTTTGCTTTATATTAATTAATTAAATTTTCAACTTTCTAAAATTAAAAAAATATTATTTCAGAAAATGCAAAAACCTTTCAATGTAAAAAAAAAGTTAAGTAAAATAAAACGTACTCCCAAAAAACTCAAAGGCTTTGCATTGCATAACACCTCACGCATTATGATAAACTTATCAGTTACCAGATTGCAACTCTAGGGTTGCCAAATCCCAAAATATAAAAGGCAAACCTCGTGCGAAAATCCGCAAAAACATGTAGCGAAAAATTAAAATAAAATAAACATAATAAAATAGTAGAATTACACTCGGTTAGCAACAAGTGAAAAAGTGTTGCATACAGTAGGGCGCATAAAGAGCGTACGAAATTTTTCATGCACAAATATGACGATTCGCACATACATATACTATATGTATATAATTTTATTATTTATATCACAAAAATAAATTAATATATTCAACAAAAATCTTTTCTTTTTTTGTCGACATAAAACATCAGGGAAAATAGTTGTTGCCATTTAGCAGCAGAACCGCAAGCCAAATATAAACATTCTACATTGGATTTATGTTATTTAATGCTAAAATATATACGCCTTTAGGCACAACGCAAATTGTAATTGATCAAATTACAATGAATTGATAAAAAGGGCAATATATACATACATACATGTATGACATGAAAATACATATGGAATACAAATTTTATCAGGACCCCAAGGTACACGCGCAACGCTTTATCTACTATAAATCCATTAGATTCATTTCAAAAATTGGCAAAAAAAACACTAATTTTCGTATAACAAAAACAAATTTATACATTTAATAGTAAATATTTACAAATCGGTCGAGCAAAAAAGGAAAAATATACCTGAACAAATAAATACTAGTGGTACCATTTATACCGGTAAATTATAGAATTTGGGCAAGGATATTATTTTATTTTTTGTTTTTGTTTTTGTTTATTTCTCACTCTTGCTGACATACACTCACTTCATGGTCACTTTAATTGAATTTAAAATTACATTTTAATTTTAGTAATTAAAAGTTAAAATTTTGCATGCATTTTTCACTTAATTTATGTACTTATGTATATATGCATATGTGTGTGTATATTTACCTCACTCAGTTGCGGTAGTTTTTGGCTTTTTTAGTATTCAGTTCTGCAAATAAAAGAAGAAATTTTAATTAACAAAATGCATTAATTTGTATTTCTATAGTAAATATAAAATGTACGTATGTATTTGTATAACCCAAAAAAATCTTAGGCGACAAATGTGTTTCAAATAAAAAAAAATAAAAAATGTTTGTTTAGTAAATTACATTGCGTCATTTGTGCGTTAATAACATTTTCACAGCCGCCGCATATTGACTGAGTTTTACAAAATAATAAACATATTTTTACCGAATTTCAAAACAAAAAAAAAGGAATTTTCAGTCAAGACTCGACAGCAGTTTAAATTCAATCCAATTCATGTAGGCTTATTTTGGAAACAGTTAGTGTAATCAGAGTTACCATACAGCAGTGGAGAGAAAGCAGGCTGCCTACCGCGCAACGTGGCGATGGACCGAGAGCTGAAGAGGAAAACAAAACGCATATGCGATATGAAGAACTTGAGAAGCAAGCCGATAGAAGTAATGCTCGAAAGTCGTACGAAAAAAGCGATGGCTCGCAGAAGGTTTCAAGACCGGAGCAAACTGTTGAAAGACACAGAGATGAGATCTAGTGCCTGATATAAGATTTAATTGAATATATGAATAAATAAAGACTTCCTCAGCATTCTGAAAGGCAGTGAATATGTAACAACGGGAGACAGCAAAGGCGGTTTCCCAATCGGTGACGATGGAACAGGTTTTTCATTTTACTGCAAGCAAGAATTTGGCGTTCGATTTTCGGCCAAACATGGCGACGAAGAACAAGCAAATTTCATACAAGAGTTTTTTTTTTGCAGAATATGGTCGGATAAAAAATGTCAAACGATTTTAATCTAAGTGTGTGCCTGCCCAATTCACAAAAATGGAGACCCCACCCTCTGTGAGTTAAATCTGCGCAGCACGAAAATAGACTACTATTTCTGAAAGTGGTATACCCGCCAGACATATAGGGTTGTTCAACCTCCGACCTCTGTGAACGTTTAGTTACCAAGCGAGGTTTCAGACAGAGGGACGCCTTATTGTTTGATTTCTTGGATTTGTGCTGGAGAAAATATAATAAGCTTCAGAGCGGGACAAAAAAAAACAATCTTCCATAAAAGATATTGACGTCATTGGTCTTAACAGCAGCGTCATTTTCTTCTGCTTTCTTCAAACTGGATAAGAAAGCGAAGGACATGGCCTTCAAAGCCTTCTACGAGACGGGTGTAATGGAGTTGGCATCTCGTTAGCAACAAGTTTATGAACAAAACAACGCATACGCTTAAATAGGGCAAATGTACACAAAGTTATCATATTTTGAAAAATCAGTAAAAAAAAACCGAACGAACTTTTTACTTGACCAATAGACATAGATGTCTATACTTGTATAGATACGGAATTAAATACTCCATCTACAGTTATTTCCATTTAGTATTAATAAACATTTAATGCTTTAAATCCTCTAAAATGTTTTTACACAAACAAAACTATTAATTTGGGTCAAAAGGAACTAGTAACTTTTTGGTTCATATTGAGCTGGTATAAGCCTGGTATACATATAACCAAAATCCAAACAGTTTAATATTATAGAGTTAAGGTGTCACATGGAATTTTTATATAAAAATTTAATAATTATATAAACCCATCAAATTTAGCATGGAAAGTGAACACCCTCAAGACCTTCTCTCAGTCAACTTTACTTTCATTCTTTTTCTGCTATTGATAAATTGTGTAAGCATGAAATTTGCTGTTTTACCCTCACAAATTGCATTGGATTTTCTTTTAACCCATCTCAAGTACACTTTTATCCAATCGATTGTTAGCTTATGCAATCGAGCGTGACTCGTCGCAACGTCTTCCAATAGACAATTACTCAACCTCTTGATTATTGGTGTTGAAGATTATGCGCTTACGACGTTGCATGGCTGCTTTTCAACTTTAACAAGAGGAGGAAGGGGGTGTAAGTGGTGGGATGGTAAATAAGTGCGTATGTATGTATGTATGTATTGAACTATTATACTACTTGTTGCATTCCTGTTGCGACTAACATTAAATTAGCTCATAAACTGTAATCTTCTATAAATGTACGTACGTACATACAATACATACCTATATATGAGTTATATATATATTGAGATTTCACTTTTCAACCATTGAAGCTGAAACGCTGTCATTAAATCAATATGTACGAGAGTAGCAGAAATGACTGCAACGCTTCAGCAGACAGCTACCAGTTTTCTTTTTTTATATTATTTTGCATTTACAAAAACGCATAAATATAGAAACAACAACAAAGTAGGTATGTATATACAGTAAAATTATATGCCTGTGTTGGTGTGTTTTCGTGCAGCAGGAAATTATTGCTACTCAGAGTTTGCAATTTGCCACTTGGTTGGTTAATTGACCGCACTTGCATTCTTCCTCAATATGATTATAACTTTATACATTTGTATATGCGTGTGTATGTACAGATGTATATACATATGTACCCGCGCACGATTGTGGGTGGCATAGTTAATGAGTGGCAAAAAAAAAATAGTAAAAATACAAATTAATAAATATTAAGTATGCAATAAAGATATGATAAATGCAACAGGGACATTTTTTTTTCTTCTTATTTTGCTTCAATCAGCATTCCGCGAGGCGGCGCAGTGCCGCTTTCAGCAGGCAAATATAGAAAAGTGTACTGGAAGCGATAGGCACGTTCCTCTTTTTTCTTTGTAAAGGCAATTATATAAATAAATATATTTTTTTTATATTTTTTGATTACTTCACAGATAGAAAATATTTATAAGAAGCAGAAAGCCTGTTAATTAATTAATTTTATTAATTATTTGTATATTTATTTATTTATTTACTTATTAATTTGCTTATTTACCTTTATTTAATTATATATTTACTTTTTATTATTTATTAATTCAATTGTTTATTTATTTACACTTATATTTTTATTTATTTAGTTATTTGTTTAATTATTTATTTACCTATTTATTTTTTTTATTTACTCTTATTTATCAATTTCTTTATTTAATTGTTTATTTATTTATTTGTTTATTTTTTTTAATATGTTGAATAAATACATTCATTAATTTAAATGTATATCTATATTTTATTATTTATATATATATATTTATTCTACATTTTTATATTTATTATTTAATTCATTTTCTTTTTATTTATTTATTCATTTATTTGGTGCTATAGTTAAATATCATTTACTGTATTTAAATATTTATTAACTTATTTTTTTATATATTTACATGTCTATGTTATTTTTTTTATTTATTTGTTTATTTATTCTTCTTAATTCTTTAATTAACTGTACATTTACTTATTTACTTTTTTACTTATTTATTTATTTTAATTTTTTTATACATTTGATTAATTAATAAATATTTATATATATTTATTAATTTATGTTTATCTTTATTTGCTTAATTTTTTATTTATTTATTTAGTTTATCGTCTTTTTACTTACTTAGTTCTGTATTTAAATAATATATTTAAATGTTTATTTACTTAATTTTTTATATATTTACATGTCCGTTATTTTTTTATTATTTTATCATTCTATTTATTTATTTATTTGTTTATTTATTCATTTATTTGATTGACTAATCTTTATTTAATTAACTATCATATTCATTTAATTATTTACTTTTTTAATTAGTTATTTATTTATATATATATATATATTTTTTATATATTTATTAATTTATGTTTATCTTTATTTGCTTAATTTTTTATTTAATTATTTAGTTTATCCTTTTTTTTACTTGTTTAGTCCTCTATTAAAATAATATATTTAAATATTTAGTTACTTACTTTATTTATAACATGTCTATGTTATTTCTATTTTTTTATTAATTTATTTATTTTTTTTTCTTATTTTATTATCTGCTTATTTACTTTTAATTGATTTATTTGTTTCATTATTTATTTACATATTTAATTATTGATTTACTTTTTTATATAATTATTTTTTTATTATCTATATACTTAATTGTTTATTTTATTATTATTTGATTTATTTATTTGTTTCATTATTTGTTCATTAATAATTATATTTATTCATTTATTTATTAATGTATTTATTTATTTATTTATACATATTTATTATTTTTAAATATATTTGTTTCTTTATATAATTAATTTTTTATTTAATTATATAGTTATTCATCGTATTATTTATTCATTCATTTCTTTATTTATATACTTAAATATTAATCTACATATTTAACTATTTTTTGACTTACGTTTATATATATTGAATTTATTAATTATATTTAGTTATGTATATTTATTTATTTTTTAGTTTAGGAAAAGTTCAAACAGTCAAAAATCAAAATTATTATAAGACAAAATAAATTCAAAAAATTAAATCTTGTTTTGAATGTGGCAAGGCTAATATTTTTAATTTTTACCCCATTGTCCACTACACTGAATTTGCGAAAACACATAAATCTGCAACGCATTTCCCGGTTGATAGCTTACGCCGTGCAATCAAAAATTGTCACCATATCGCGATTGCTCTGGCATAACCCTCAGGTTGAAAGCGAAGGGCGACAACAATATTACAGTACGCGTGACCCTTGTAACTGTGAAATTATATGTAAATCTTTTTGTATGTATGTATATACATGCATTTACGCAGGTCTCCTTGCTTAATTGCCAGTGTCATCAATTTGATGACATCCAAATCGTATTTCCACCGCTTGCAACATTGTGCATTCTGCTGTGGTGCCCCTTGTGCTTTTCGTTTATTTTTTTTTCTTCATTGCTTGATGTGTTTTCACTTTTAATTCGCAATTTGTGTACGTATGCAACGTAATTGCATTCAGCAATGGGCCATCAGTGTAAAATGTTATGAGAAGGGAACACGAAATAAAAATATGGAAGAAAAGGAGCAACTCAAATTTAAATAATTTTAATAAAACCTTTTTTTTTGTTTTCAAGCGGGCATGGTTCTAGTGCAGAAATCGATGTGAACTTTAATGTCGCAGTAGTAGTAGTAGTAGTAGCAGAAGTA